CTCTACATTTGCAAGTTATATAGCTAATTTAAGGAGCGCGCACGCCTCCCATCGCGGCTCCCCCTGCACATTCATCACAGACGATATGGTTTTGACTCAAAATTAGTGAAAAGTGAGCTTAAATTTAAGCTAAAAGATGACTCAAGCAAGGCTAATGTCATTTTACCCCCTACTTAATTAAATAATTGTGTATTTACATAGATTTAAAATGATATATTTCAAAATAAATACTTGATGAAAAAATTGTTAAATGATACTCTTAATTACAAACTTTTTCTCAACATATCATATTAAAATTATAATAAAATAAATTATAACTACCAATTTTAAGCCGAAATCTGAATGAGAAAAATTAAGAGTTTTTTTTAATCATTAGAAAAAATCTTGGCTCTATCCCTATTTATGGAGATATTATTCTTTGTGGACACCGAACGGTCTGGAGACCAACCAGAACATGCCACTTTATCTGGTACACAGTGGTACCATTCAAAAAAGTGGCATGACGCGTTCTTGTTGGTTTCCCGATGCCGTCCGGGTCCGCACAGAATAATTTTTCCTATTCATGAGCATCTTTGCATGGATTTTCCCCCTTTATGCAAGGAGAATTTATTACATGCAGAGTCGGGACGTGGTTGAGTCCGAACGTAGGAAATCATGGTTTTCAAAACCGGACCGGATCGGCCGGTTCGACCGGTTCAACTGCGAACCGGTCCGGCGGGCGGTTCGGTTTGATTATAAAACCGGCTGGATTTAAAACCGTTAAAAAACCGGCCCAAAACCCGGTTGAACCGGGGAACCGCCGAACCGGGCGGTTTTTGAAGAACCGGCCGATTCTAAATTTCGCAAATCTCGGCCCTCCATCCATGATCGAACGCGCGTAGGGAATTTTTAAGGTATTTTATCGGTAGTCTGCCCTAAGCTTGCGGCTTTTCCTTCCCTATTCGCTCGACGACTCCAAGCAAGATGAGATCGACTCCTCCATCCACAAGCATAAGCCGAAGCACTCCTCCGATCATCTCCAACCAGCTCAGTCGTCAGTGCACTCCTCCGACCATCTCCAACCAGCCCAGCCGTCGGCGCACTCCTCCGACATCACAGCCGTCGGTGCACTCCTCCGACCTCCCAGCCGGCGCACGACTTACTGTGAGCTATTTCTTTCCATTGTTGTTTGTTTTGGATCCCTACAACTAGAGAAAGCTAGGGTTCTTGATTTTTATTGGTATTTATTATTATCCAGTGATCTCTGATAATCCGATACTTTATGCCTATTGCTTAATGTTAAATTTATTTGGATATAAGTTTTCTTTCTAAGTTTTATTTGATTTTTTATGTAACTTTTTATGCCGTTATCATTCCCCTTATAATTTACTGCATTATAGAAGGTTTCTTAATTCCTGATGATTGTTAATGATGTTTTTACAAGCAAATATCAACGTTAATCTTTCAAATTAACATGTGTTATTATCTCTTTTACTTGGCTTGCACTTGATTTTGCTCTTGAGAAAGTAAACATCACATTAATTCTCACCTCTTAACTGAAAGCCTCGAGAAAAATAAAATATGTTATTAGAGGAAAATTTATAGTTCATTTTATAAATTTTAATAATATTATTATTTATTACGTCATCCGATTCGACCCCGGTTCGACCGGTTGAACCGGTCGAACCGTGAACCTCTCCTTCTTCCGGTTCATTGTCCGGTCCGGTTTTCAAAACCTTGAATAAAAGTAATCATATATGCAAAGATATTTAACTATAATCATTATTCATCAAATTTTATTTACACTAGTTAGAAGATCAATTAAAGAGTGCAAAAAACTATACTTGAAATCTTGAAATCGGATTAGCCTCAATCCTGTGAAAGACTACCCGTTTTGAAATATGAAAACCATAGGGTGAATTAATAGCTCAGTAGATTTTTAAAACTTATAATTGGTATCAATGCATAATAACAGAAATAATATACATATAATCACTCAATTCAAATATGTATGAACAAATAACAGTTATTATAAACAGTGTGAATCAATATGATCAATTTTAATCAATAAATAGTTCAAATCAGTATAATCAATAAGTTTTCTTAGTTCTATACCCCTATCAATTTTAGTATAATATTAGAAAAAAATATGAATCTCTATCTATCAATTATAATAAAAATAATAATATTTCTATGTCAAATCATGTACATCAACATGTCTATCATATAACAACCATGTTTATGGTGTCTATTTATATGAATATCGATATATATCGACGCATAAATATATGATATGGGTTAATCTTGTGAGTCTTATTATATGCTTCAATCAATCAAATCATGTATCTTTTTCATGTCATATCATGTCACTTTAAAAAATACCATATGTAATTATGTCATATGCATATGTCTTGTAGCATTAATATTAAGTAAGGTAGGACATCTAACACTTATGGATTTTTATCTATAACAAGTCCTATAGGCCATTTACACCACATTTGAATCAACCTTAATCATGTCAGTCCTATAAATAGGAATAAGTCTCATATCACATGTCACAAGTCAGGTGGCTTTCATGTAAGAAGTTGTCACTTCCTATCCATCAATTTGTCACATTGTATCAGTCAATCTTTTTATATCTCCCTTCTTATATCTTTTAGGATCACATTATAAATATTATTTAAAAGAAAACCCATCGACCCACCCTCCTATGTAGGATTTTTTTTTTACCCTCCTATGTAGGATTTTTTTTTTTACCCTCCTATGTAGGATAACATGTCTCCACCCAACCTAAGTCAGTCAATCATTTTTAACCACCTTTTTTTCTTTTATGCATGCATCTTAATATTTATATCATAATAGAAAAAATCATGTACACATCCTGTATAATTATCATAACATACAAATCTATCTAATGTGCTCATCATTATGTATGTATTATATCAAAATGTACGTTATACCAAATGGATAGTAACTTAAGGCATGTCATATATTTCATGTTTAGATTTTTTACATTGACTTCTGATCATTTTATGCTTTTTGTAACTACTCATTTTGAACAAAATGACATATATGCAAAACCAACTAGTAAAATCTCAATTGCCTGTCAAAATATTCAGAATGATTATATCTACTACAAATTAAATGATATATGTTGGAGATAGTCTCTATCAACAGAGATTTTTTTTTTTCAAATTTAAGAGAGGAAAAAATAACAAAACATAAAATCATCAAAAATTGAGGTAGGGTTAAAGTTACTTACCACAATTAAAATAACATTTATAATTAGAGAGATATAAAATACTTGCTAAATCCCATTCTTCCCTCTCCTCCTTCTCTCTCCATCTTCTCTCCTCTTTTCTTCTCCTCTCTCACCTGGCTATTTAAGGGAATGAGGAGTGAGTGGGGGTGGTGATGGTTTAGATAAATGAAAATAGATATTTTATTAAATAAATTAAATATCTGACCCACCCAATGTTATAATGCTCAAATCCTCAGCACTGTAGTGCTCGTTTAATTTCTTATAAACTAGATATACTAGAATTTCAACACTTAGATCTAATTTTACTATGCCACTCATTACATAACTCGCAAACAGAGAGGATAACACCACTACGCTTATAAGCATAACATTGTATTGCTCCCCTTCAAACTTTTAAGATTGCAAAAATTTCAATTTAATTTTAAATCATTTCAAATCTCAGGTTATTACGATCCACCCACCTTAAAAAAATATTATCCTCGATAAATCCGTAAGATTTATGAATCTATAGAACATACTATTGTTCTTTATCACATCAACCATGCCAATCAATCAAATCATGTATTCAATCAAATCATTCACACATTATGTATTTCAATCAATCATATGACACTCAATTATGTTATATATTATCAATTAAGTTAATTAATAAAGCTTTATAGAATTCAAATTTGGATAGAGAATTATACTAGTGGATATCTCAAGTATTTCTCTCATTCTTAGTGAATCAGATTATATACTTTTGACTACACTGGTGGTATCATCATTAATGATATAGGTTGCCTCTGACTTTCACTCACATTCCTACCATCAGTCAAAACATTTGTTGGATATTCTAGATCCAGTGATCTTCTATTTATAGACTTGTATAGGCTGATCTATCCTGGATTATGATCTTTCTCCATATAAACTTTATAAGCAATGAACCATTCTATGTCTGTGTTGACAATATATGAAACATTATCCTGTGATCATAAAATATTATCCTACATGCCTCCTACAAACCAGGCATACTCTGGCACACTATTAACTAGTACCATATGTCCTTTCTTAAAATTAATGAATCTACCATTTTTTTACTACCATCTTCCCTCGTAATCTTGACACTTACTCTCTTCCTATTCATGTTTTGTCTTAATTGGGGAATAACCCAATCATTTTCAACTAACCTCACTCTTTCTACTAATTCATAGAACTCATGGATCCTCATAG